AAAAAAAAAAAAAAACCAAAAAACCAACACCATTTATTATTCACATATTGCATTACAAGTGTCTCTTATCAAACGCAAAGTATAATTTATATTATTCATGTAGAAAGTCAAATGAAACACCACATAGAAACAACACCTAAACATGAGTTACATGGTTTCAGTGACATCCTGATCAAACGTCGAGGCTTGGATCGAAGAGAAGGCTGACAACCCAAGCAAACAGTGCAGGAGGGACAGGTCGCCGCTCGCTTGCCTAGTATACCGCTCTACTGGCAGTTCTTTATTGCTGTAAAACACAACAGGGATGGTTCCACGTGTACCAGTTTGCAAAGGACTTGGAAATACGTCAGGGAGGATTCGCACAGGAGCCAGGCATCACAGACCGGGTTTCCAGAACAATTTGAAGTGCGTATTTTCCAAACGCTGCGTGACGCCAAATTCCTCTCCCTCTGACCATCAACAGCTTAGGGCATCATCTGAAAGATCCGTTTCCAGACAGCAATGCCTCATTCTTCTGCTTTAAGAACAGACTAGGACTAGTCTAGAACTTTACCAAATTCCTGTTTATTCCTCATTCACTCTCTGAACATCTGCCGATACCTTCTCCAAGTCTATTCCATGCCCTAATAGCTTTCTCACTTGGACAAAGTTTCCAGGCTCATGTTGCTGGAGACAGGAGATAAAAGAGAAGGAGATGATGATCCTAGTTTCTTCCTTCTTTCTTTTTGCCTTAAATTAGCAGAGTTAAGATTTTCTCCAGCTGGAGCAGTCCCTCTAACCTGGACACAGAATGTACAATCTCCAAATGCAAACCGCAGAGGGAGATACAGGAAGGTCATTGGTGCCCTGACCGCCCTTGGTGCCAGCACAGTGCTGGGTTGCCTTTGATTATAGCTGCTTGCGGGACCAGCTAGAAGTATGTGGTCTCTGTGTGCTCTTTGTCTTGGCCACCGCCATTTACTTTTACGTGTCCATTTTCAGAGCTGCTGTTGGCATTTTCACAGGGCCTAATGAAAGGGAAAACAGTCAGAAAGCAGACAAAGACCCATTCTGACTTGACAAGAGCCTTCTCCAACGGGCCCAGGGAAGAAGGATGTGTAGCCTTCGGGCAACTTCCTTCCCGTTCATCACTCACTCCCTGAGAGGCTGTGGACACCCTTGTCCAAGGAGGCCAACTGAAGCGCTGGGGTGCAATTCAGCCACATTTCATGGGGAGTGGGGAGCAGGGCAGTAGGTGATATCTAAAGCTGGAGGGCACAGCTATGCGGCATCGGCCTTTCCCTGGGGAGGGCGGGGGGAGACAAGGGACGTGTGGGCTCCTCCTGGAGTCCCTCTGTTTTTTGGGCATGAAGGAAGGCGTGACCACCGTGGGTCTGAGATACACCTTTGGCCTTGGCTACAGGGGCAAACGGCCCGAGCCACTATTGCACAAGAGGCTCCCGTCAGCACGCTTTCTGGAATGACAATCACATTTACTTGGCACACTTGTGTTTGGTCTCAGAGGAGCATCGCTCTCAGGAAGGACGTGGACTGTTACCTCCAGGAGCACTGGGGCAGTTGGGGTACTCACCTGCACTGGGGGTCAGCTGCCTTCATGTTATCTGCCAGCTCTGTACCAAGGTCCCCAAAATA